GGGGGTTAGGGAGAGGCGTTGGCACTAATGCAAGTCATACTTACTGTTACCCCCTCACCACACTTCCGGTTTGACCAGTAAAGCTTAGGGAGAGAGAAGCAGTCTACTAGTTTTTATCTCTGATCAGCGCACTTTTCCTTGTGGAATCTATAATTATTTTTTCTGTTCGGCAAATAGTTTTCTTTTGTTAACTCCTCAGAGAAGGTTCCCTGACCCTCCAAGTGTATGTTGATGCATAAATAACCTGTCATTAAACGAAGTGAAATCTGTTGATAATTTATTTACAGTTCCAGATTCATAGGCTGAACCATTTAGATCTCTATAGGTAAAATTTCCAAGTACAATAACTTTATCTTTTCATTGTCACTTTTTACCACTAGTTCTCTAAGGACATTATGTAAGCTCTCATTTATCCTCACAAAATGTGATGTAATGATTTGGAAAACTGACAGGTTGAAGAATTAGACACTTGTGCAACATTTGGAAATATTTATTGAGGAAACGTTTCGCCAGCCAGTGCCTTCTTCAGTCCAAAACAGAGAAAATGAGGTAATCAGTCCCTCAGCCTGGAGTTGATGTGTTCAGTCCATCAATCTTGAGAAAAGTACAGCATATGCTGTACTGTAAATTTATTGCTGTAAGAGTTTCTTATCTTTATTTCGTACTCTTATTCCTAAAATATCAACGTGTTCAGTATTTTGGATTTCAGTTTCCATAGCTTGAAGGGACTTTTGCCAATTTTGCCAGTTTTCCTCCTTCCCAACTCTGTCTGTTTTCCCCAATCAGTAATTTCTGCCATATATAACCTCCTTTAATATATGCTTTTCCAGTTTTATTTCAGTTAGATAACCTGTATCTGGTTTCTTTTTGAGATTATTCCATCTATATTACTGTAGTGTGTAAATATTCAGAAATGCATTATTCTCACAGTTACCCCTTTCCCCATTCATTTTAACAGGATTTTCGTGTATCCTGTGGTTCGCTTCTTTGAAAAAAACATTTGATGGGCGTGTATGGTCTGCTACTCTGTAAAAAAAATCTTTATTTTTAGGCTCTTTCAACCTCTTAGTAGTGTTTATTAAACATATCATTTTCACCCTATCTTCCTTTGAAAGAACTTGTCTAATTTGTATATCCTTATAACCTTTCAGGTTTTTGATGTCTTTAGCTTTCTTTTTTAATTTCTTCTTTATGCTTAATCTGTGTATAGGTTATTTTCAGTGGCCTATGCTTGTCTATCATATTGTCTAATACGCCTGTATGTTCTTGAATACCGAAAACTATAATGTATTATGTCGTCTCATTTATGTGTTCTTCCTATTTGATTCTTTATATTCGTAGGTTTATTTGCTTTTCAAGACAACCACAAACATAATTGTTTTATCTCTACTAACAGCGTCCCTCAATAGCCTAGAGTAATTTGCAAATCTCCTATTAATTTTTTTAACTAGCAGTGAATTCTTTAGTCAGTACCACCAGTTGTTCACTATTTTATTTTTTTCTAGCTAATTTTGAAAACCTATATTTAATCTTTGATTTATATTCTTCTAGACATTTCATCTTCTTCTCCCCTCAAGGAAGGTTCCTTGATGCTTGTGAGGGGCTCTTGATCTAGGGAATTGGATCTGTGCTCCAGTTCCCTGAATTAAACCTGAATGCCTTCCACATCCCCCCACAGGTGCTGTATATTCCTACGGGTTTAGTGCTTCCCCTTTGATTATAATAATAATAATAATAATAATTCATCTTCTTCTCTAAGCTTTTGTTGACATTTTCAGAAACATCGTGTCTTCGATGCACCTTCTGTTCTAATTATGTCTTAGGCTTAGTTATTTTTGCAAAACTGTCTTCTAATTTAGTTGTATGCTACTAAACCTTTATTTTTTTTTAGAGAATTCCTGATCTATCAGCTCTTCTTAATTATCTTAGTTTGGTCACCTAATATCTTCTGCATTTGCTGGAAGGAAGCCTTTAAAACTTTTATTTCATTTATTAAAGTTCATTTTCCTTATTTAATTTCTCTATTAATCCTTCTTGCCTTACCTAATTATGTTCAGTTATAGTCATTCTCTCCATTCATCCACTAGTTTCTTTGTCTGAAGGTGTATAACTATAGCTGTGGTTAGACTATGTACCCTCCGCCATATTGTCAATAAAAGCACCGCTCAACTGTGATGCTGCTGTGTTTCTTAATATGTTAAATACGTTATCCTTACCCCAGAAAGTGTTCCATATTAATAATTTCCTTCCATTTAGCGGGTCACCAGTCACATAAAACTCTCTGATCCCTACAGTACAAAACGTTCATTTTTTTTTTTTAGCAGGATGAGGCGGCTGAGTTCTCTTCTCGGCGTCGTGTACTCACCTATTGTGTGTGTGTGTTTTTGTGCGCTCATAATATTGCAAGAAATAAATGAACAAAAACATTAGCAAGGAGTGCCGTATTTGTAATCAAAAGTCGCAGTAAACATTGTAAACTTGAAACTCTGAACTTGAAAACTAGAGATTTGTGAATTTCAGAAAAACGGCAGTATGTCCATTAAGCAAATTTAAAATATCAAAGGAGTAAATTATCAATGAATATTTTTTTCCCAAGGATTACAAACTTGAAGGTTGTCAGTGGCGATGACTATCAGGCCAAGGAGCCAAGATCAGTAAACTGGACGAGAAGAGAACGAGTTCATAATAACTTTTTTACTTACGCTTTCACCCTGGTCCAAAAACCTGCAGTAAAAGGGAAAGTAGTCCAGTATTCTGTTTTTGTATGTGTATCGGCCGTCTCACCTCTCCTCTCGTCATAGAGAGCCTGAATGACCAGGCTTCCCCTAAAGTGCCTAAGGCTAAATTATATGATAAAGACAATGTACACTGTACAGTGTTCTTCAATCTAGCATTATCACACTCGTCACTATGTAACAAAAATCACTCTAAAAACCCACCAAAAGTGGTCAGGCCATTTAAACTTTCTCACCTCTCTCTCTCTCTCTCTACCCACATCCTTTTTTGCAGTTTCTTCCTGCCCTAATTCTTTCCTTCCCCATTCTTTCCATTGATCTTATGCATTGGAAAAACAAGGTGTGGTTCATGCAATCCGATTGTGCTTCATTCCTTTATGAGTTTATGGCACCAATATATCGTACTAATGTGTGTAATTGCCTACCTATTTGTAAATAATGGAGCAATGCTATGTTTGTGGTGTATCTTTAGTATATATATATATATATATATATATATATATATATATATATATATATATATATATATATATATATATATATATATATATATATATATATATATATATATATATGGAGACATGAACCGTGGTGATGCTTGTATCAGGCCTAATACTGTTATCACTCAGCATGAAAGTTACAGGTAGGATGAGTTTACAAACCACTCTTTGTAAGCTCCGTGGCTGGGTGATAACAGCGATGGGCCTGCTACATGCTAGTGCCACGGTTCGAATACCCGTCCATTCTTGTTTATTCATTGACAGCCGTTTGTTTATTGATTGAGAAAGGATTATTGTGCAAAGTCCAAATTAGAATATTCATTATTATCATTCAGTAACATGTTATATAACAAAACTATCATAGCTTATATGTAAACAAAATTGTATAAAAGTTTAGACATCACTATATAATACAACATAAAGACAAACTTCAACAATTTCTTAGTATCTAGACATTCAGTTGTACAGTCAGATGAAAAATAAGTTTTCCGGTTGACAAAAATTGGACGGCGGTGAACATTTACAAGCACTCTGTTGGTAACTACCGTGAAGGTACACAGCTGGTGCAGCAATACCAGCAGGTGGAGGTACACCAGCTGGTGCAGCAATACCAGCAGGTGGAGATACATCAGCTGGTGCAGCAGCACCAGCAGGTGGAGGTACACCAGCTGGTGCAGCAGCACCAGCAGGTGGAGGTACACAAGCTGGTGCAGCAACACCAGCAGGTGGAGGTACACAAGCTGGTGCAGCAACACCAGCGGGTGGAGGTACATCAGCTGGTGCAGCAACACCAGCAGGTGGAGGTACACCAGCTGGTGCAGCAACACCAGCAGGTGGATGTACACCACACCGGATGGTACAGGTACACCAGCTGTTATTGGTGCACCAGCTGGTACATAAACTGTGTTGTATAAGAATATACCTTCCAATAGCCTTAGTTTTTGTGACTAGTTAAACGACTCAGAGGTTATATAAGAAACGTGGGATGGAGGAGTATGCAGGATAGAGAACAGTAATAGGTAGAGTAGGATTAAGATAACATAAGGTAAAAGGGATAGGGGCTCGGGGAATCCTGATTACGGATCATTAAATAATGAATCGGTAAAGGTTGGCTTATCATAGGAGAAGTTTGAATGTACGTATTTTGATCATAGAAGACTATTGGGATTAAACGAGCTGTAGAAGAAGGCAAGAAGATAAGACTGTTCTTGAAAGAAGGGACTGGAGTAAAAGAAAAAGTTGTAGAAGAGGCCAGGGTAAAACAGTCGTCTCAGATAGAATAAGAACTAACATCAAAATAGAAGGGAACGCGATAAAAAGATGTGACTTTTGAAAAAAATATTAGAGAAACTACATTTGAAAGGAATCGTGATAAATGGAACAAGTGTAGAGGAAAGCATGATAAAGAATCTGGTGTTCGAAGGAAACGTATTAATCTGGGTAAATAAAACAGAAGAATGATTAAACTGAACGAAAATGGAATTATGGGAGAATGCAACTTAAAGGTAAAGTAATAAAGAAAATCTCTTTAGAGAGAAACGTAATAAGGAGGTTTATATTGAATGGGAACGTTATTAAGAGAATCAAAACAGAAGGAAACAAGAAAAAGGAATCGTGGTTAATCGACATGTGTGGGAGGAAAATTATGGAAGTAGGACATAAGTAACAGCAACCATGCATAAAGGGAATAATGGTAGAAAGTGTTGCATCAAAATGGATCGTGCTGAGGAATAGTTGAGAACGAGGCAGATTATCAATATTATCCTATTGAAGATGTAAATTCGTGGTGGTTATACAGCGTCTGAGAATGATAGTCATATTTGATTAGAAGGGGGGGGGGAGCTCTGATTTCTTGAATGAATGAGGCAAAAGTTCTTTATGGATCTTATGAGTGTTAATAATCGTTAGTGTTGTACACTACAATGGATTATCAGTTTTTTTATAATATGGTGATAAATGTTATAAGGAATTCGTAGCTGGGGGCGTGTTGCTCTGGCTTCCTTTAATGCACGACTTTCTGCCAGCGGGTCGTTGACAGGTTTAGTCCTGCCTGGGTGGTACTTCAATCAAGTCGTTGACAGGAAAAGTTCTGTCTGAGTGGTGCATTAAGCAGGTCGTTGACAGGCCTCCCTGAGTGATGCATCCAACAGGTCGTTGACGGGTATATTCCTGCCTGAGCGACGTATCCAGCAGGTCGTTGACAGGTATTCTCCAGCCTGAGTGATACACCGAGTACTTCGTTGACAGGTCTGCTGTCTGAGTGATACTTGCTGACACGTGAAGAGTTTTAGAAGAGAGAAAGGCCGTTGGTCTTGTTTCCGCTACGTGCCCGTTCCAGTAATTCATCCACCTGGTCTAAGACTAGGGTGCCAACGTTCTCCATGCCATTGATGAACCTCACGTTGGCATCGAACGTAGTGTCCAACCACCGACCCAAGTTTCCGCCTACCGGAATCACGTCATCCACGGTCGGGAAGCAAAAAGCGTATAACATATATAATTTTATACTAATACAAAATCAATATTCTATTTATGAAGCTCCAGAAACCCTAAATTGTCTTGCCTTTATGGGGCAAAGAAATGATTTACAGGTGAAGAATCGCATATTTTGGATTGTCTTTAGGTAACTGCACAACACTATGTGAGGTAAGGGAAACAAAAAATGGAGTTGTCCCACTGGAGGATTCTACTTTACATGCTTAAGTCCAAGTCTTCGTGAGGCAAGTCCAAGTCTTCACAAGGTAAATCCGAGTCTCTCCACGTGTTAACTCCAAGTCTTCGTGAATTAAGTCCAAGTCTTCACAAGTCAGATCTGTATTTCATTTGTAGTGGTAAGACCGTCACAAGTGAGGTTAGTAGCCAGCATGTGGAGAGTGGTTGAGGATGTGCTATATGTACCAAAGAGCTGTGCCATGTGGAGTACCATACTGACGATGCCTCGCTGCAGTCTCGCCACCGCCCATACCTCATAATGATGCTGATGGACCATAACTACCGTTCCAGTGGGAGGCGGCTTCCAGGCGGGGGCCCTGTCACTAGCTCCAGGCGGGGGCCCTGTCACTAGCTCCAGGCGGGGGCCCTGTCACTAGCTCCAGGCGGGGGCCCTGTCACTAGTTCCGGCGGACTGGGCCAAATGTTATGCTGGTTAACATGGTCATCATCAAAGTGAGAAAAAGAAGTGGTCTGTTTATAACTATTCAAAATAACAAATCAAGTTTCAGAAACGTGCATAACGATTATTTTAGACATATCTACTCTGTGGCTCACACAAGCAAGAAAAAAAATCAGATCATGCACATTATTCTCCATATTCAGAAATGCTTAGGGACCAAGCCTATAGATATCCACCAAACGCCTTATTACTTTCTCATAACACATAACATTAGCATTCCGTTTGTTACCTTGTGTATAAAGCTTGTCATTGGGCTGGCAGAGTGACTTCACAAGGTACGTCGATGCAATCTTAGTGTCTTGTGAGAAAGAAGTGTTGGATGCATTCTAAATATTGTGAGAGGGAAGTGTTGGGTATATTCTGAATGTTATGAGAGGGAAGTGTTGGGTATATTCTGAATATTGTGAGAAGGAAGTGTTGGGTATATTCTGAATGTTATGAGAGGGAAGTGTTGGGTATATTCTGAAAGCTGTGAGAGGGAAGTGTTGGGTACATTCTGAATGTTGTGAGAGGGAAGTGTTGGGTACATTCTGAATGTTATGAGATGGAAGTGTTGGGTATATTCTGAATGTTGTGAGAGGGAAGTGTTGGGTATATTCTGAATGTTATGAGAGGGAAGTGTTGGGTATATTCTGAATGTTGTGACAGGGAAGTGTTGGGTACATTCTGAATGTTGTGAGAGGGAAGTGTTAAGTACATTCCGAATATTGTGGGAGGAAAGAGTTAGGTGGTGTATGCTTTGTATGGTGTATGCTGACTGAGTTGTCAGTTAGTAGTGGTGTATGTTAATTGTGTTGTCAGAGGGTAGGTTAGGTTGGGTGAAATTAATCATGAAACAGGACAAGAGTTTCCTGACGTGGGTCCTAGTCATATGATAACCCGTCGCTGGAGCTTTTGGCCATTTGAGTGGTGTATGCTGACAGTGTTGTCAGGGAATATTGGTGTATGTTGACTGTGTCGTCAGAGGGTAGTAATACAAGCTGGCAATCTTGACAGTAGAGTAATGGGCTGACGTAGGCTAATTAATCAGTTTATAAATTAACTTTCAGTTTAAATTGAATGGGTGTAAGAAGAGACGTTTACAGATGGCCATTTTTGATAGTAGAAAAACATGTTTGTACCAATGCAAGAAAACCTACAGCAGGAAACTAAATACAGAATTCATTGTTTAAGGCCCAGCCACTCAGAAAATATTTTTTTCTGATAAACTCACAGCCACTCAGAAAATATTGTTTTCTGATTAACTCACAGCGTTTCCATTTAATTTAACAATATCACAACTTATAACTAATTAAATAGCATACAAAAGAATGGTACATGCTGAGTGTGTTGTCAGGGGTGGTAGCACATGCTGAGTGTGTTGAGAGAGTAGCAGTGCATTCTGAATGCGTTGTAAGTGGTGGTTGTTCATGCTGAGCGTTGTAAGTGGTGGTTGTTCATGCTGAGCGTTGTAAGTGGTGGTTGTTCATGCTGAGCGTTGTAAGTGGTGGTTGTTCATGCTGAGCGTTGTAAGTGGTGGTTGTTCATGCTGAGCGTTGTAAGTGGTGGTTGTTCATGCTGAGCGTTGTAAGTGCTGGTTGTTCATGCTGAGCGTTGTAAGTGGTGGTTGTTCATGCTGAGCGTTGTAAGTGGTGGTTGTTCATGCTGATGTTAGAAAGTTTTGGTACATGCTGTTGTGAGGAAGTAGCAGTACATGCTAAAGTACGTTGTGAGTTGATAGCAATACATGCTGCGTATGTTGTGTCGTGCTGTAGAATGGTGAACAGGATGAGAACAAGAAATGTGCGGTTTGTTTTGAAGTATCTCGTAAGAGACTCTCAGAATAACCTTGAATCTACGAGGGTCAGTTTCTGAAGTCACCTTCACTCTACAAGTGACACTTTTTTTTAATCTCTGAGTGTACCCGGGAGAAAAAGTATCAGTGATTAAAACAGATTTGATGTAACAGCAGGAAGTGAAAGGTAGAAAAAGGTCTATAAATTTCAGTTACTTAGAGGGCGTCCACTGAAACTGAAGACGGAGTCATGTAAATAAAATCCTCACAGTGATAAGCTAGAAAAGAAAAGAAAATAAAAAGAATTTATTTTTGTACATTCTTCTCCTGTAAATGCAACCTGTTCTCATGATCAGAAAGTTTATCTTCTACCGGATTCCAGAATTTGTGTTCCAGCAGTCTGAACGACACCAGTATCCTTGTTTTACTCGACCTCTGTCACATCCTCCCTCTTTAGATTGACCTCCATTACTTTGAATTAGGTAAATTAAATAAACCTAAATTGCCGTAATAAAATCGCACATATTCACATGCATAACCGGTGAGGCTATCCTAGGGTAACAGATAATTCACACTCATATGATGATACTCTGCCGTTAATAAGTACGTTGGAAGCGTATGACCTGGTAAACTGTGTTGTAACGTCTCAACAGACCGCACACATGTAATGATTGAATTCAAAACTAATCCTGATCCTCTGCTGTGTTATTACGTTGCAACACGTTATTACCTATCCGTATATACCTAAGATCCTTCTCTCCCCAAACAGATTGCTTTATCTTTAAACCATTAAACTTTGTCCCATTTCTTTTTTATTCATTTAACTATTAGTAATAGTATAATGTTTAAGAGTGTTAAAACTCCTAGTCGGTGATAACTTAATGTACTGAAAATCTTTTTAGTTGAGGTAATTTAGTCTCCCAGATGCTCTCTACCTGGAAACGTTCAGTCCGCTAAATAAGCCTGTATGAACATTTGTATGCAGACAAATATAAAAGAGGTCCTTTATATAGACTTAGAATTATATAGACTTAGAATTATAGACTAAGAATTAAAGTAAACTGTGTGGAAGGCAGAAGTGAACATGTTTATCCTTGACTACAAGGCAGGATACCATCAGAATTCTGGGACCTCCTGTGGGAAATAGAACTGAGGAACATTTCTTAACTGTTATACTCATGTTACCGTGAACTTAAGTATAACCATTCAGAGTGGAAGGTTGTGCTGCAAACTTACCAAAAAGTGTGCCAAGGCCAGATAAAGCAAAGGACAGCTGGTTGGCGTTGCTGCGTTCGGAGTCCTGGCGCTTCGTTCGTATCAGTGCAGGGGATTTAACATCGACGAGTGTACCAGCTATGTGGTGGACAGCATCAAAGGCCGTGTCAACCAGTCCATCAACGATTGCATCATCTACGCTATGGACTGCATCAGCTTTCGTGTTGACTAGTTCTTTGGCAACGCCACCAGCAACAACAGCTTTCAAGAAGAAACAACCGGAGGTTAGATAGTGAAGCATGATGGTAGCGCAGGATAATCCTGCTGCAGGCTTCCGATGAGATGTTCTGATATGGCGAGTTCTCTCTTATAAACACTGCTAGTTGACTATCGTGAAAAAAAATATTTGGGTAGTGGTTAGCAGCTGTATTAAAATTGTGATATGTGCACGTTTTTAGTTTAATTTATACTTAATGTTATGAGCAAATTTTAGCATGCAAGAATTATATATATATATATATATATATATATATATATATATATATATATATTATATATATATATATATATATATGCAAGGAATTCGCGAGAGCATGCGAAATATACACAAACACTGATCTCTGGCTGAAGGAGACTCGAACCTACGAACCTTAGGACAAGGTACGCAGTGCTTTACCAATCTACCCACACTGGACCAATACCTTGGCGTGTAGCATGCGCTACACGTTTGATCCAAGGCAGCCAGCTTTCAGGGAGAAGGCTTACAGCTTTTCATCTCATCCCCTGCATGCATCAGCCTTACTAGAGATTTGAACAATGCAAGGAATTCGCGAGAGCATGCGAAATATACACAAACACTGATCTCTGGCTGAAGGAGACTCGAACCTACGAACCTTAGGACAAGGTACGCAGTGCTTTACCAATGCGTACCTTGTCCTAAGGTTCGTAGGTTCGAGTCTCCTTCAGCCAGAGATCAGTGTTTGTGTATATTTCGCCTGCTCTCGCGAATTCCTTGCATTGTTCAAATCTCTAGTAAGGCTGATGCATGCAGGGGATGAGATGAAAAGCTGTAAGCCTTCTCCCTGAAAGCTGGCTGCCTTGGATCAAACGTGTAGCGCAAGCTACACGCCAAGGTATTGTCCAGTGTGGGTAGATTGGTAAAGCACTGCGTACCTTGTCCTAAGGTTCGTAGGTTCGAGTCTCCTTCAGTATATATATATATACTCCGGCCGTTGTCATACACAGAATAATTGTGGCTCCTTAGTGATGGGATGAATATGTTTGGCTACTAATGTGTAGTTACCTGTTGTTTTTAAATGAGGTGGAAAACCTATCCTCTCATCCTATGTTAGGATCTACAATTTTGGACTCTGTGGACTGGTAAGCAAGCTTAAATCTTTGGTGGAGTAACCAAAAGTTCCACTTGGTAGGTCATCACATAACTAAGACACGCTTAGCAGAAATCTTCATCTCTCCTATAGCAAATAACATACCATCATTGTTAGTTGAAAAGTTGAAAGGTGATAATAGACGATGTTGACTTGAGAGGATGGAAATTTGAAGGGCAGTGTGGGCATGAGAGGATGAATGTGAAATTTCACATGCCTTCGTTCACGACTATAAAAGCTCTGTCCAGTCACTTTGAATGTTTCTAGCCCACCGTTTTCATCATAGACAACCAGCGAAATTTTGTTGACTGATCTAACCAAGGGGGGGAAACACCAGGTGCAGTCTTTTTTAGATGTAACATCTTTTCCTGAAGATCAGGCATGGGCAAAGCCAGTTCTTAAAAGAAGAGCCAGAAGCAATAACTCAACCCCTTCAAACATAATTAGGTAAATACACAAACCCAGACACCCCAGATAAACAATTAGGTGAGTACACACACTCAGACACCCCAGACAAACAAATAGGTGAGTACACGCACTCAGACACCCCAGACAAACAACTAGGTGAGTACACACCCAGACACCCCAGACAAACAATTAGGTGAGTACACTCACCCAGACACCCCAGACAAACAATTGGGTGAGTACACTCACCCAGACACCCCAGACGAGCAGAACTTGCTGGTACACACACCCAGACACCTCAGACAAACAACTATGTGATTACACACACCCAGACACCCCAGACAAACACCTAGGTGAGTACACACACCCAAACATCACAAACAAACAGAACTTGGTGAGTACACACACCCAGACACCCCAGACAAGCAGAAATTGGTAAGTACACACACCCAGACACCCCAGACAAACACAGCTAGGTGAGTACACACATCCAGACACCCCAGACAAGCGCAACTAGGTGAGTGCACACACTCAAACACCCCAGACAAACAACTAGGTGAGTCCACACACCCAGACACCCCAGACAAACACAACTAGGTGAGTACACACACCCAGACAAGCACAACTAGATGAAGACACACCCAGACAAGCACAACTAGGTGAGTACACACACCTAGACACCCCAGACAAACACAACTAGGTGAATACACACACCCAGACACACAACTAGGCGAGTACATACACACAGACAAAAAAACTAGGCGAGTACATACATACACCCAGACAGTATTAGACAGTTGACTACTTACTCTTGGTGGCGGCAGTTCCCAGACCTCGGCCTCCGACCACCTCGGAGAGTCCCGGGAAGTTGAGAACTACTACGTCGTTGTCATGGTTCTCGTAGGCGTGGAAGATGCGGTCAGCACTGTAGATCCCCACGGGGATACGTCCTCCCAACGCCTGGCTCAGCCCGACGTACGCCTTGCCTGTCACTGTGCGTCAGGGAAGACGCAGCTAGTTAGTTTGAGCTTAGTGGAGCACTGGCAGACAGTGTAGGGTTAGTGGAACACGGAGACGTTGCTTTTACTATACATTAGGCCACAAAAAGGCGAAGTTGTTTACGTTTGTAAAGCTAAAGTATATATATATAATATATATATATTATATATTATATATATATATATATATATATATATATATAATATATATATAATATATATATATAAATATATATATATATATATATATTATATATATATATATATATATATATATATATATATATATATATATGTCGTGCCGAATATGTAAAACTGGTCAATTAGCAAGAACTCATTTAAAATTAAGTCCTTTCGAAAATTTTCTCATATACGTTTAAAGATATATTTTTCTCATTAATGTTAATGTAAAAAATTTTAATTTTGCACCAAAAGAATCTTAGAAAACTTACCTAACCTTATTATAACAAGAACAATTTATTTTAGCCTAACCCAACTAAATATATTTTAGATTTGTTTACAATAATTTAATACTAAACAAACACAGTGAAATATATTTTATACGTTAGGTTCAGAATGATTTTGGCGAAATTATTGCATGCACAAATTTTCACTTGTCTTATTTGGCAAGATGAGCGTTGCTATTTAAGCCAAGATCGCAAGTTCTGCCTATTCGGCACGATATATATATATATATATATATATATATATATAGTTTTTTTTTCTGCATAATATTTACACCACACATTGCCCTTAGACAGGACATCTCCACTGCCTCCAACCGTCTCCTCGCTGCTGCATTTACCACCCAAGCTTCACATCCATATAAGAGTGTTGGTACTACTATACTTTCATACATTCCCTTCTTTGCCTCCATAGATAACGTTTTTTGACTCCACATATACCTCAACGCACCACTCACCTTTTTTCCCTAATCAATTCTATGATTAACCTCATCCTTCATAAATCCATCCGCCGACACGTCAACTCCCAAGTATCTGAAAACATTCACTTCTTCCATACTCCTCCTCCCCCAAATTTTATATCCAATTTTTCTTATCTAAATCATTTGATACCCTCATCACCTTACTCTTTTCTATGTTCACTTTCAACTTTCTACCTTTACACACATTCTCAAACTCATCCACTAACCTTTGCAATTTTTCTTTAGAATCTCCCATAAGCACAGTATCATCAGCAAAAAGTAACTGTGTCAATTCCCATTTTGAATTTGATTCCCCATAATTTAATCCCACCCCTCTCCCGAACACCCTAGCATTTACTTCTTTTACAACCCCATCTATAAATATATTAAACAACCATGGTGACATTACACATCCCTGTCTAAGACCTACTTTTACCGGGAAGTATTCTCCTCTCTTCTACACACCCTAACCTGAGCCTCACTATCCTCATAAAAGCTCTTACAAACATTTAGTAACTTACCACCTATTCCATATACTTGCAACATCTGCCACATTTTTCCTCTATCCACTCTATCATATGCCTTTTCTAAATCCATAAATGCAATAAAAACTTCCCTACCTTTATCTAAATACTGTTCACATATATGCTTCAATGTAAACACTTGATCTACACATCCCTACCCACTCTGAAGCTCCTTGCTCATCCGCAATTCTACATTCTGTCTTACCTCTAATTCTTTCAATTATAACTCTACCGTATACTTTTCCTGGTATACTCAGTAAACTTATTCCTCTATAATTTTTACAATCTCTTTTGTCCCTTTCCCTTTATATAAAGGGACTATACATGCTCTCCGCCAATCCCTAGGTACCTTCCCCTCTTTCATACATTTATTAAACAAAAGTACCAACCACTCCAACACTATATCCCCCCCTGCTTTTAACATTTCTGTCATGATCCCATCAGTTCCAGCTGCTTTACCCCCTTTCATTCTACGTAATGCCTCACGTACCTCCTCCACACTTACATTCTGCTCTTCTTCACTCCTAAAAGATGGTATACCTCCCTGACCAGTGCATGAAATTACCGCCTCCCTTTCTTCCTCAACATTTAAAAGTTCCTCAAAATATTCTCGCCATCTACCTAATACCTCCCTCTCCCCATCTACTAACTCCCCTACTCTGTTTTTAACTGACAAATTCATACTTTCCCTAGGCTTTCTTAACTTGTTTAACTCCAAAATTTTTTCTTATTTTCATTAAAATTTCTTGACAGTGCCTCTCCCACTCTTTCATCTGCTCTCCTTTTGCACTCTCTCACCACTCTCTTCACCTTTCTTTTACTCTCCATATACTCTGCTCTTCTTGTAACACTTCTGCTTTGTAAAAACCTCTCGTAAGCTACCTTTTTCTCTTTTATCACACCCTTTACTTCATCATTCCACCAATCACTCCTCTTTCCTCCTGCCCCCACCCTCCTATAACCACAAACTTCTGCCCCACATTCTAATACTGCATTTTTTAAAACTATTCCAACCCTCTTCAACCCCCCCACTACTCATCTTTGCACTAGCCCACCTTTCTGCCAATAGTCGCTTATATCTCGCCCGAACTTCCTCCTCCCTTAGTTTATATACTTTCACCTCCCTCTTACTTGTTGTTGCCACCTTCCTCTTTTCCCATCTACCTCTTACTCTAACTGTAGCTACAACTAAATAATGATCCGATATATCAGTTGCCCCTCTATAAACATGTACATCCTGGAGCCTACCCATCAACCTTTTATCCACCAATACATAATCTAACAAACTACTTTCGTTACGTGCTACATCATACCTTGTATATTTATTTATCCTCTTTTTCAATAATTATGTATTACTTATTACCAAATTTCTTTCTACACATAGCTCAATTAAAGGTTCCCCATTTACATTTACCCCTGGCACCCCAAATTTACCTACTACTCCCTCCATAACATTTTTACCCACTTTAGCATTGAAATCCCCAACCACCATTACTCTCACACTTGATTCAAAACTCCCCACGCATTCACTCAACATTTCCCAGAATCTCTCTCTCTCCTCTACACTTCTCTCTTCTCCAGGTGCATACACGCTTACTATAACCCACTTTTCACATTCAATCTTTATTTTACTCCACATAATCCTTGAATTTATACATTTGTAGTCCCTCTTTTCCTGCCATAGCTTATCCTTCAACATTATTGCTACTCCTTCTTTAGCTCTAACTCTATTTGAAACCCCTGACCTAATCCCATTTATTCCTCTCCATTGAAACTCTCCCACCCCCTTCAGCTTGTTTCACTTAAAGCCAGGACATCCAGCTTCTTCTCATTCATAACATCCACAATCATCTCTTTCTTATCATTTGCACAACATCCACGCACATTCAGACTTCCCACTTTGACAATTTTCTTCTTATTATTCTTTTTAGTAATTTTTACAGAAAAAGGGGTTACTAGCCCATTGTTCCCGGCATTTTAGTTGACTTTTACAACACGCATGGCTTACGGAGGAAAGATTCTTATTCCACTTCCCCATGGATAAAAAAGGAAAAGTAATAAGACCAAGAACTATTAAGATAAAATCAAAGAAAACTCAGATGAGTGTGTATAAATAAACGTGTACATGTATGTGTAGTGTAACCTAAGTGTAAGCAGAAGTAGCAAGACGTACCTGTAATCTTGCATATTTATGAGACAGACAAAAGACACCAGCAATCCTACCATCATGTAAAACAATTACAGGCTTTCGTTTTACACTCACTTGGCAGGACGGTAGTACCTCCCTGGGTGGTTGCTGTCAGAGGGCAGAAGAGGGGTTGTTGAGGTGGTTTGGTCATTTAGAGAGAATGGATCAAAGTAGAATGACATGGAAAGCATATAAATCTATAGGGGAAGGAAAGAGGGGTAGGGGTCGTCCTCGAAAGGGTTGGAAAGAGGGGGTATAGGAGGTTTTGTGGGCGAGGGGCTTGGACTTCCAGCAAGCGTGCATGAGCGTATTAGATAGGAGTGAATGGAGACGAATGATACTTGGGACCTGACGATCTGTTGGAGTGTGAGCAGGGTAATATTTAGTGAAGGGATTCAGGGAAACCGGTTATTTTCATGTAGTCGGACTTGAGTCCTGGAAATGGGAAGTACAATGCCTGCACTTTAAAGGAGGGGTTTGGGATATTGGCAGTTTGGAGGGATATGTTGTGTATCTTTATACGTATATGCTTCTAAACTGTTGTATTCTGAGCACCTCTGCAAAAGCAGTGATAATGTGTGAGTGTGGCGAAAGTGTTGAGTGATGAAAGTATTTTCTTTTTGGGGATTTTCTTTCTTTTTTGGGTCACCCTGCCTCGGTGGGAGACGGCCGACTTGTTGAAAATATATATATATATTATATATATATATATATATATATATATATATATATATATATATATTATAATATATATATATATATATATATATTATATATATATATATATGAAAATTTCCCCTTTTACATTTAGTAATATATACAGGAGAAGGGGTTACTAGCCCCTTGCTCCCGGCATTTTAGTCACTTCTTACGACACGCATGGCTTACGGAAGAAGAATTTTGTTCCACCCCCTCCATGGAAAAAATACACACACACACACACACACAAAAAAAAAAAAAAAAAAAAAAAAAAAACTTGCTGAGACAATAACAGACACAATCTTCTCAACGGGATATCAGATCCTGAGGAAAGATAGAAGGAGAATATAAAGTAGTCATTGGAGTGATGTATAACCCACCACAGAACTGCAGGAGGCCAACAGAGGAGTATGAAGAAAACAACAGGGTGATGGTGGACACACTGGCTGAGGTGGCAAGAAGAGCTCACTCGAGCAGAGCAAAGTTACTGGTAATGGGCGATTTCAACCACAGGGAGATCGACTGGGAAAACCTGGAGCCACATGGGGGTCCCGAAACATGGAGAGCCAAGATGATGGATGTGGTACTTGAAAACCTCATGCATCAACATGTCAGGGACACAACCAGAGAGAGAGGGGAGGATGAGCCAGCAAGACTG